GGGATGCTGTGGGATGCTGAGGGATGCTATGGAATGCTATGGAATTCTGTGGGATGCTGTCCCAGCAGCTGATCAGGCCAGAAACATCGAGAAGTTGGAAGGGAGAAGTGGGATGGAGGGATACGGGGACCCAGCAGGAATACAGTCAGGGATCCAGGCAGGAATATGAGCAGGGATACGGGCAGGGATGTAGGCAGGGATACAGGCAGGGATATGGATAGGGAACTAGGCAGGAACATGGGCAGGGACACAGGCAGGGATACGGATAGAGAACTGGGCAGGAACATGGGCAGGGATCCAGACAGGGATCCAGGCAGGGATGTAGGCAGGAATACGGGCAGGGATCCAGGGAAGAATCCAGGCAGGGATCCAGAAGGGACACAGGCAGGGATACAGACAGGGAAATGGGCAGGGATACAGACAGAAATACGGGCAGGGATCCAGGCAGGGATGCGGGCAGGGATATGGACAAGGATGCAGGCAGGGATATGGACAAGGATCCAGGCAGGGATATGGACAAGGATGCAGGCAGGGATCCGGCAGGAGAAGGCGGGTTTGTGCTCCAGGCCCCCAGTTCCCGGAGCCTGGAGCTGGGAGCGGGGGCTGCAGCTCCTGCCCTGGCTCCCACCCCAGTGCCACTGCCGTGCCCGGAATTCCAAGCAGGCTCAGCCCAGCCCAGATGCCGGGCGGACACTCCAGGAGGACAAGCCAGGCTTTATTCCCTGCTCCATCCCAGCCTGGCACGGGCCTGGGGACACAGACCCCGCTCTGTTCCACCCCCGGCATCCCGGGATGCAGCACCAGACACCGGGAATGGCACGGGCGCTCCTGGGAGCATCCCAGGATGCGGCACCACAGCTGCCGGCTCTCCCAACCTTTTGGATTAGGGGCAGGAAAACACAGCTCTCCCAGGTTTGGATTAAGGGAAGGGGAACTGCAGTTCTCCCAGCCTCTTGGACTAAGGAAAGTGCAGCTTTCCCAGCCCCTGGATTAAGGGAAGGGAATTGCAGCTCTTGCAGCCCCTGGAATAAGGAAGGAAAAGGCAGCGCTGCAGCGCTTTGGGCGCTTTCCAAAATAGCTGCTACCGGGAAAAAAAACCAGGAAAGCAAGCCAAGGGCCTATGACAAATCCTCCCTACGCAGCTCCCAGAGCCGCTGCCAGAGGAGCCACGGCCTCTCCAGGGGGATGTGCTGGAGCCACAGCCATTCCACAGGGATGTGCCGGAGGCACCCGGTACCCCGTGTCCTGAGGGGGCCAAAGCCAAAAATTATGGACAAGGGAGGGCTGCTCCAGAACGCCCCACATTCCTGAACACCCCTCACTCCTGAAGCTTCTCACGGAGGATGGAAATCAGGGAGGTGATGTCCCTTGGGAAGCACAGACATCCTGGGATACACAGCAGAGAGACGGCTCCTCCAAAAGCCACCCCTGGAGGAAGCCGTAATGGCCCCTCATCCCAGCACCCCCAAAACTGCTGGAGTTGGGGGTGGGGAGCAGTTCTGGGAGGTGCCAGGCAGCAGCATCCCACTGTATCCCCCAGAATCCTGACACTGGGATGCAGGCAGGGGGTGCTGATCCCAAGCCGAGTGGGGAGCAGGGCACAGATGAGCCACCCTCCATCCCCACGGGTCATGTCTGAGCCCACAGCACCCCAGAGAGTGCCAGGTGGGAAGGCAGGGTGGGAATGCAGGGTGGGAAGGCAGGGTGGGAATGCAGGGTGGGAAGGTGCAAGGGCAGGGCTGCACTCACATCCCACCGATGGAGACGGTGGCGCAGGTGCGCTCGGAGAAGGCGGGCACGGTCTCGGTGGCGCTGCTGGCGGGGCGGATGTAATCCACGGACACGTTCACCTGGAACCAAAGGGGGCAAGTTAGGGATGGCTGGATCACCTCTTCCTCTTTCCTCCCTGTGCCCAAATCCCCATGCCGGTCTCCGGCCCCTCCACCTCCCCCTGCCCAGGGAACGGCTCGGGAACAAGCGCTGCCACCACTCTGGTGTCCCCAGACAGGGACAGGAGGGAACAGCAGGTACTGGGGATCTCTTTGGGGGGCAGATCCTGCTGTGCTGGGGCTTGGGATGAGCTGGGGGGTGCAGGGATCGTGGAATCATGGAAATGGTTTGGGTGAGAAGGGGCACTAAAGCCCATCCAGTGCCACCCCCTGCCATGGGCAGGGACAACTTCCACTGGCCCAGGTTGCTCCAAGCCCCGTCCAGCCTGGCCTTGGACACTTCCAGGGATCCAGGGGCAGCCACAGCTTCTCTGGAAAACCTGGACCAGGGCCTGCTCACCCTCCCAGCCAGCAATTCCTTCCCAATATCCCATCTATCCCTGCCCTCTGGCAGTGGGAAGCCATTCCCTGCGTCCTGTCCCTCCACCCCTTGTCCCAAGTCCCTCTCCAGTTCTCCTGGAGTTCCTTTAGGCACTGGAAGGTCTCCCTGGAGCCTTCCTTTCTCCAGGCATCACCTCCAGCATCTCCTGGCCATCACCCCCTCAGCAGCTACCAGCATCATATCCCACATCCACAGGCACCATTTCCATGCCAATCCCACCCAATCCCACAGCTCTGCCTCCCCAGCAAAGCTCCATCCTCCCTGGTCTAGTGGCACCTCAGCGGGAGGAGGCTGAGGCTGCCTCGGTCTGGTGACGTGAGGTGACACAGGGGTGACACAGGGGTGACACAGCGCTCTGTGGGGACATCCTGGTGCTGCCTCCCGCCGCCCCAGGGCTGGATTTGGGCACTATGGATTTTTTTTTTCCAGGCACGGCACCGTGCCCGTTCCGCATGGCCAGCGCTCGCTCCGGCAGCTTGAGCCAAAGGGAGCCAGACAGGCGAGGCAGGAGCATCCCTAACCCCCTTCAAAGCCTCGGCTCATCCCAAAAATCACTTATTAAATGAGCATAAAGATGCAGGAAAGGTCGGAGCGCTGGCAGGGCGCCGGAGCCGAGGCTTTTCCGCAGCGGAGAGGGGGCTCCGGCAGGAAAGCGCCAATTAAGGGGAGCGGTTAAAGCGATTCCTCGCAGCAAAGCTCGTGTCAGAACCACTGGAGGGGAAAAAGAGACGCCGATTACTCCGAGAGGCAGGTTGGGAATTCAGCTGCTCCGGGGCTTTGGCAGTGTCTGGCTCAGGAGCGGCTGGCGTGGGAAACACCTGGCTCGGGATGAGCTGGGGGGTTGCGGAGGTGCTGGGGGGGGGGAACGGGGGATCCTACAGCTCGGGGAGGGATCCTGGATTGCCACCAGGAGGGGAGAAGCGAGGAGGGATTGGGATGGGGATGGCACGACACGGCATGGCATGGGATGGGGATGGGGTCACCCCTCAGCCCACAGCAGGGATGTGCCATGTCACGTCCCGTTCGTTCCACTGGCATGGGTTGGTTTGCGCTGGATGGGCCTGGGGGCAGGAAGGTTTCACATCTGGACAGACGGGATCCATGGGACAAGATCAGTGGGATGAGTTCAAGGAGGGCAAGTGGAGCACTGGGACAGGTGGTACAGGGAAGCTGTGCTTGCCCCTGGATCCCTGGAAGTGTCTAAGGGCAGGTTGGACGGGGCTTGGAGCAACCTGGGCCACTGGAAGGTGTCCCTGCCCATGGACAACCTTGAGGATCCCTTCACATCCAAACCATTCCATGATTCCATGACGTGTCGTGTCCCACCCTTGGGTCACACCAACCCCATGGAACACTCCAGGCTTGGGGAAGCGGCTGGAAAGCTTCAAAAGGAGCTGGAGGTGCAGAGAGACAACACCCAGGACCACCCAACTGCAGAGCCGGGTCTATCCAACGCCAGACGTGCCACTGTCACCATTACTGTCACTGTCACCATCACTGTCACCGTCACTGTCACCATCACTGTCACTGTCACCCCACAGTCCCAGAGCTCTGGCATGGGGCAACATAAAGCAAAGAATTTTTGGGTGCTGAGGGCAACGTGGCCAGGGAGGGGTCGGGAGGGCAGGATGGGGTGGCCAGGACTGGGGTGGGTGCAGGGTCCCCCCCTGCAGCCCTGGGACCCTCACGGGCCCCGCTCCCCCAGTGCAGCCGCCGTCGGTGCCGGCCGTGTCTGGGCGGGTTTCCAAGGTCAGCTGCAGTCAGTGTGGATTAAATCACTCCGCCAGCTCCGCTCCCGGGAGCAGATCCAGCCCGGGGAAGAGCAGCACGACACGGAGGAGCCGTGGCTTTTGTGCAGCCACCGCGCTCAATGTCACCCGCCCGGCTCCCGGGACTGCCGGCCCACAGTCGGGGGCCTTGGAATCTGGGGGGGGGTCCCCAGGACCAGCCAGCCTAGAGTCACGGTCCCTGGAATTCCAGGGCTCCCCACCAGCCCATAGTCAGGGGCACTGGAATCCTGAAGCTCCCCCACACTCACCAGCCCAGAATGGGGTTCCCTGGAATCACTGGGGCTTCCCCAGATCTGCCAGCCCCTCGTTGGGGTCCCTGGAATCCCCAGGATGTGGCCCCCACCACAACGTATCCAGCATCAGATTCCCAATGAGGTGGTTCCCAGCACGTGGTCCCCACATTGTCCCCACAGTTGGTCCCAATGAGGTGGGGACACCCCTAGAGCCCCCCAGGGCCCCCCAGCCCATGGTGTCCTGCCCCAGTTCAGTCCCAGTTTGGACTGGGGGGATAGGATCCCTGCTCCAGCCTCAGGATCCCACAGCAGTGGGGGACGTGTCCCCACTGGATACGGGACAGAGATTGGGGTGCATCCCCCTCCCAGGGATGGACTGAAAGGGGGGAGGAGAGCTCGTCCCCCTGGGGAGGGACTGGCCCCAGGGGGCACAGGGGGAACAGCCCCACCTTTGGGTGTCCCAGGCTGGGGGGTGTGTGGGGGCTCTGGGATGTGCCAGTGACACCCCCCAATATTCCCACCTGTCCCAGGGGCTTGGAAGGGCCCGTCCCCTCCCGCAGGGACACGGGGGGGAGGACCCGGGGTGGGCACAGGGAGGGCTGGGTGGGCGCAGATGGGGGGTGGGTGGCAGCCCAGACCTGCCGGGCTATAAATACCCGGAACGCCCGCGGATCTCCCGGCCCGGCGGCGTCACCCGCTCCCGGGGAATATTTTTACCTCCCTGGCAGCTCGTGCCGGGTGGCAGGAATGGGGTGGGGGGCGGGGAGGGTTAGGGGAGGGTGGGTGCCCCCCCGTCTGCCTCTGAGGCTGGGAAGAGGCTCCCAGAGACCTGCGGGGGGGTAGGGGGGGGGGCCAGGCTGGGAATATGGGTGAGGATCAGGAATCTGGGGGGACACGTGATAGGAAAACCTCATGGGGAATGTGACATGAATCCCGGTGGGATGAGAGGATGCAGGAGGCACAGCGGGGGCAGCAGAACCCCCGGGGGGCAGATCCGGGGACACGTTTTCCCTCTGGAGCAGCAATTTCCCTCCCAAGGCTCATCCCAGGCTCCCCACACATCCTGCTTCAGGGAGGGGGGGTTTCCTGGGAATGGGAAGTAGGAGGCGGCCCCACCGAGCTCTCCCCTAACCCCCTCCAGCTCTGCATCCTCCTATCATCTCTCCTGGAAAAGGGTTGGGATGTGGTACAGGGATGCTCCACGACAGCCCCCACGGAGCCTCCAGTGCCTCCGGCATCGCCGAGAGCGGAGCCGGCGGATCCCAGAGCTCCGAGCTCCCCCCCTGCCTCTGGATCCAGGAGCAGCCATGGAGCCCCCTGAGCTGAGCCCCGGGGCAGGATCGACCTTGTCGGGGGTGGGGAGGGGTAACCATGGAAGTGCCGGGCTGGGAAGCTTCGGGAGGAGGGAGAGAGAGGTGCAGGGAGAGGATCTATCCCTGAATTTCAGATCATTACACCGGGAATAATCCCATTTGCCTCTTTTCCCCTCGCCTGCTGTCAGGGAGCCAGCCCAGCCCACTGCAGCTCCCCCCCTGCTCGGCTGCAGCCGCACGCGCCGCTTATTCCAAGCGCAGCACAGGCGGGAAAACATCTCTCCCAGTTGGGCTCTGAGCAGCCAAATCCTCCCCAACAGCCAAATCCTCCCCAGTCCCACCCGTGGAAGCAGCGGATGACGCAGCCCGTTCCCGTGACGCTCCAGAGCTGGAGCCCTGCAAAGCCACCCCGGCACCGGCACATTCCAAGGCACAGGATCCCCGTTCCCAGCACGGCGCCGCTTCCCGAGGGATGAATCCCCCTCTGCCCCCATCCCCGGCTGCACCAGAAAGCGGAATCTTCCCAAAAACCCCTCTCGAGTGGCCGTGCCGTGCTGTGCTCTCCCGGAGCTTCCAAGCTCCAGCAACACGCAGGAAAAATTGTCCATCGTTCCAAAAATCTGCCAAAGTCTTTCCCTGCTCCTACGGGAATGTTTTCCCCAGTCCAACGCATCCCTTGGTTTTTTCCCCAGGTCTGAGCCCTGGCAGAGTTGGCGCTGAGAGCGCTGCTATCAGTAACCCCAAAAGGAGCATTCCTGGAAGCATCCCAGGAAGCATCCTGGCACCTCTGAGGGGAACAGACACAGGTGGATGCACGGGAAAACTGCCAGGAAACCCCCGGCTGCTGCTTTCCAGGTCTGCCAGAGCTGGTTCTGGGCTCGTGGCACTGCGGATGAGCGGCATTCCCAGTTGGAAACAGGGAGAGGGAAGGGGATGGGGATGGGAAATGGGGATGTGACACAGGGATGGGGCACTGGGATGGGAGATGGGGAACGGGGATAAGGGCACAGGCATGGGACACAGGGCAGCATCGCTTCCATGCACAGGGGCCGTTTATCCCGGCGCTCTCCAGCGCCGGCTCCCTCCATGCGAGCGATTAATCCCCCAGTTAATTAGGGAAGAGCCCCGATCCATCTCCTGCACCGCGGCAATTCCCCGGAGCCGCTCCCCGGCACAGCGTGATCGATGGCGCGCAGGATCCGGCCCTTCCCGCCACGCTCCACAGATTTATTCCACAAATCCATAGCAGCCCAACACCAGCGGGTGCCGCAGGGGGGGCCGCGGCCTCCAGTTCATCCCGCGCCACCGGGCAAATTCCAGAGCGCCGGGAAGGACGTGGTGGAGCAAGGAGAGGCTCTGGCACACGAGCCAAAAAAAACCCCCAAATCTGCTCTTTGAGTGCCATAAAAATCCCAGCCTGGAAACTTCCCTCTGCCCAGGGACAGGGAATACAGAGGTGGTTTCCCACATCCCAGCTCTCCTCCCAGCACAAACAGAAGGAGAAGGGGTCACGGCAGCCACAACAGGGATATTTCTTCCTCATCCCCCCACCCTGTGCTTTCTCCAGAGGGAATTATTTTGGGAAGCAACGGGGAGGGCATTATTTTTATGCAGACCCAGGGGATACTGTCGGTTCCTTGGAAAGGGGGCAGAAACCCAGGGCAGGCAGATCTCCCTGGAACCCCAGGACTCCCCGGAACAGCCTCAGGGACCCAGGGCAGGCTGGGCTCCCTGGAATCCCAGGGCTCCCCCAGAGTCTCAGGGGCTCCCCAGGTCACCCTCCAGAGGCCCCCAGTGCTGGAGCTGTGCCACAGGCTTGGTGCTGCTGTTTTGGGGGGTCACTGGTCACCGAGTGGCTCCTTTAGGGACAGGGACAGTGACAGAGCTGGGGACAGCAGTCCCTGCTACAACACAGCACACGAACAGTGGATGGGGGAAAACTGGCACCAGTAACCCTGGGGTGACTCAGACTGGGACTTCACCAAGGTGCCAGGACCCTCTAGAACCACCTGAAATTCCATTCCAGACTCCCATGCTCCCATCATAAATCCCGCCAACACCTCCCCCACCCTCTTCCAACTCTGAGAAGCACCAGACTTCCCTTTGAAAAGGTCTCAGAAGCTGCTATTTTTTTTCCCCCTCCCCTATTTTTTGGGAATAGCCAGGCGGGGCTCCGAGCTGGAAAGATGCAATTAGGCACCGAAAGAGCCCTGGCCGAGCAGCAGCGACGGCCTCGCTGCCGAGGGAATTGATTTTATTTGACCGTTTTATGAGCATTGGAAAATTGCATCCGGAGCGTGCGCTCCCGTAGTTAATACATTCCTCATTCCCTGAATTGAGCTAAACCAGCCCAGAAAAATATGCCTGGGAAACAAAGGGAAAAAGCAAAGAGGCGTTCCCGGGAAATGGGGATCCCAATCCTTCAAAGGGTGCTCCAGATTTGGGAATTCCCTGTGAAGAGCCTTGGGGTTGTCCATAAGGATTCCTACAAAAGCAGTAGCACCAGCACTGGTGGGTCCTGGACCCTTGGGAACACCACTGGAGTCACCACTGGTCTCATCCCCTCTCTTGTCCCCTCACCCCCTCTCTTGTCCCCTCATCCCATCCCTCCGTACCTTCTTCCCAATGAGCTTCTTGCGCAGGAATTCCCGGGCCTCGAACATGTAGGGAATGTCGTAGAGGGGCCTCAGCTTCCTGTTCTTGTCCTGCAGGGGGGCAGAGAGGGGAGAGATCAGAGGAGCCCCCCTAAACACCCCACGAGCAGCATCGCTCCTCCCACCCCTCTCCCACAGGTGCCCACCCGCTCCTGCACCCCGGTTTGGGCTCCCCGAGCTCCGTTGAACCCCGAGGGGATCCTGGGATAACCCAAACTTGCCCCCAGGAGGATGTGCCAGCAGCCTTGTGGTGCCAGGTCAGGCTGCTCCAAGTGGCAGCTCCGTAAGGAGAAGGGATGAGGGGGAATTTGGGGTGGGGGTGGCCAGGGGGGATAAACCCCCAGCCCCTGCTCAGGGGTGTCTGATGGAGATCAAATCCCTGCAAAGGCTGAGAAAAAAAAAAGGGGAGTTTTCCAACAGAAATGGCAGTGGGGATTCAACCCAATGTAGCTCAACAGAACCCCATGTGACCCACAACGACCCAACATGACCCAACCCCCTCGAACTCAATCCAACTTAACCCAACACAGCTCACCCCAACCCCACTCGACCCAACACAACCCACCCCTACACAACCCAACCCACCCCAACCCTGGGAGCTCCCAGCCCACACTGGTGGAGGCAGGCCCTTGGCACAGTGCCCTGGGTATGGCCCCCCCACCCCCAGATTCCCTGAGCTGGGCAGGAAAACACAGATAAGAGGGAGAACAGGCAAAATCAGCCGGAAACGGAGGAGTGGAGTCCGATGGGAGAGGGAGTGAGTGGATAAAGACAACGGCACTCAGCTCCTCCCTAATGAACGAGGCTTTGATAGAGTTTATTGTCCTTGACAGGGTTCATTCCCAGGCTGCTCCCTGGAGACATTCCTTTCTCCGCCCACATCGCCACGGCCCTGCCAGCACCAGTGATGGAACAGGTCGGATCCTGCAAGGGGACCCCCCGGGGACGCACACCCAGCGCCCACCCCATCACAGGCAGGTCCTGATCCTGGCAGGACGTGGGGACCGGCAGAGATGGGATTTCCCCTGGAAGCAGGAGCTTTTACACTCGCCGGGGGACCACTTGTGGCAAACAGAGAAGCTTCCTGGCACCCAACGAGATGGGCACGGAGCTGTGGTGGGCAGCCAGGCCGCAGGGCCAGCTGTGCCCGGCCCTGGAGCCGGTTCTCCGGCAGGGAGGGAGCTTTTTCCTGGCCCCACATAAGATTAAGACCCAGCTGGGCACACGAGGATGGCACGACTGGTGGGGTGGCCGGCAGGGAGCTCTGGCACGGCTCGGGAATGTGGTCGGGAAGGCCGGCACTGCCGCTCCGCTCCCCGGCGAGGCGCTGGGGCATGGAGGCCACTCCGTTATTCAGGCAGTGCCAGCACAATTCCCGGCCCCGTGCCAGGGCTGGAGCAGAGCCACGTGATAAATCCCGCGCTGCCAAGGGGTCCAAGAGGGGTTGCCAGGGGGGATTCCTGCTCCTCCCGTAGCATCTCCCCCTGGACCACGGGCATCCCCCCAGGGTGTCCCCCCGGGGTTGTGTCGCTGCCACACAGAGCCACCCCGGTTCCAGGGGATCCGGAGCAGCAGGATGAGTGACTTCTCATTCCACAGCCCAGCGCTGCGCCACGGAACCCGCTGCTGTCATTCCATGGAAAAATCACCGTGCGGAGAAGGAGGATTAAGCCAAGGGGATGAGACACGGGATGGGCTCAGCCCTGCAACGCTGGGCATGCAGGTGCTCCCCGCTTTGGCACCTCTTGCCCCTCCACAGCCCCCCAAAGTACATCCCAGGCGCTGCTCCAGCCTCTGGAGCAGCAGGAGCTCAGCTGGGCTGGCAGAGATGAGCACAGAGGAGATGCCCCAGCATCCACCAACCTCCACTCTGCCCCTTCCCATGGCAGCACAACACCAGCCTCTCTTCCCAGACTGCCAGCCCTCCTTCTCAGACTGCCACCCCTCTTTCCTGACTGCCAGCCCCCCTTCCCAGACTGCCACCCCTCTTTCCTGACTGCCAGTTCCTGTCCTCGGGGTCCCAGAGCATCCTGGCCCCTGAACCCTCAGGGTGGCTCCTGGACTCCTCCCTCCAGGTGCCACGGTGGGATCTGATGGGATCTGGGTGATGAGACACTCCCACCCTCGCCAAGGTCACGAGCGACATGAGCGCTGCCCTGAGAGGCAAAGCCCTGTACAAACACTAATTAATCCTCACTAACGAACTCCAAATTTATGGCTTATTTAAGTGTCTGTCTGGCACAGGCTGTTAAATCCCTAATCCCATCCCTCTGGAGCGCGGGAAGGGGGATGGCAGAGCCCTGGGTGGCCTCGGCATCGCCCGGCAGTGCCGGGAGCTCCGGTGCCAGCGGTGAAGTCCTGGAGGAGCCGGGGGAGGGGGGTTGAGCCCTCACCAAAACTGCACTGGAGCATCTCATGGGTCTGCAGCCATGTGGGACCCATCCAAAAAGGGGACCACCCCAAAATGGGGACCACCAGCACAGGTACCCCAGCACCAGTGCCATTCCTGTGCCACGCCGGGATCCACGGTCCCATCGTGCCAGTCCTGGATGTGCCATGGAGGCAGGATCTGACTCCTCACCAAAGCTGCCTTGGAGCGTCTTACAGGTCTGCAGCCAGATGGAACTGCACCAAAATAAGACAACCCCAAAAACAGGACCACCCCAAGACAGGGAACACCGTCCCAGACAACACAACGCCATCCCAGGCGTGCCATGCCAGGATCCAGTCACGCCACACCAGCCCCCCATGTTCCCTGGTGGCAGTGCTGAACCCTCACATCGTGCTGCTGCTGCTGCTGCTGCTGCAAAAAGCCAAGCCTTGGGGAATTCTCAGCACAAGCCCAGGCCGTGCCAGGAGCGGATAATGGGAACGTTTAAGTGCCCGATCCGTCTCTCCCCGCCCCGCCCCGTCAGCCCCGTTAAATCCCGCTCTGGTGGCCCATAAAACGATATTTCACAGCGCAGGGGGAGCGGTGGCTGATGGCTCTGGGAAGCTGTTCAAGAACTCGGACACACGGTGGAGGTTTTGCAAACAAACGTTAGAAATCGATGGAACAGCGGGATGTTAACGAAATTCCACGACCGGCAAACACCGGCAATTACAGGCACGGAGAAAGATTTCGCTGGGTTTAAACCATTTTTCAAGGCGAGGGCTTGGCTGAAGCAACACCCCTCTGAGCCACCCTGGAAGCTGTGGCTGCCCCAAACCTGTAATATTCAAGGACAGGTTGGGTTGGATGGGGTTTGGAACAACCTGGGCTAGTGGAAGGTGTCCCTGGCCCATGGCGCAGGATGGTTCCGAAGGTCCCTTCCAACCCCATCCAACCTATTCTGAGATTCCAAGATTCAGTGAAGTGCTGGTCCCGGCTCTCCCCGGCTCCTGGAGAGAGTCATCAGCCATTCAAAAATTAATTAAAACCAAGATCTCATTTAATTAAAGGTGTGCAGCGAGGAAGTTGTTCTATTAGTGAGAAAGTCGGCGCGTGGAGTTTCATCTTCAGAGAGCTGCTGGAGGAGGGGGGAACCCGCTCACCTCCCTCCCCGAGCATGGAGACAGGGATTTCAATCCCAAATTTGATGGGAACGTGTGGTTTTCTCACAGGCTGGGGAACCCGGGGCAAGAAACCAGCTTTTTGGTTAAAATGAAGGCTGGAACGTCTCAAAAGGGGGACAGCGAGCAGCGGGTGTTGGACCCCCTCCCCCCCCAAATTCCCTCCTCCTGAAATAACCCCCACATGGCTTTGAACACCCAGCAGGGCAGAGAATTCCAGCTCTCCTGTCAAATTAACATCCTTACGCCGGGCGGGGACTAATTAAGGTCTATTTCCAGGGAAGCAGCAGCTCGTATCCGCTGCGAAGGATTCCATGGGGGATTGAACACGCAGCGCTCCCGGCTGCCAGGGGTGCTGCTCCCAGCCCCAGCCCCTTCCCACGGGATGATGATGGACACAGGCACATCTGGAGCAGCTGGAAACACTCCTAGACTGGGGATCGCAAAGGAGCTCCACAGTCAGGGGCTCCCCGAGGACTCAGCAGCCCCTGAGGGACCCCAGGGTGGGGGGACCTGCCCCACTCAGCTCGTGCTAGGGCAGAGCCGGGGCCGGGGGAAGGATCCGAGCCAGAGCAAGAGGGGCTCCCAGGAATCCTTGGGGTCCCAGGCTCCTGTTCCCAGGAGTGTGAAGGCAGAGGAGGGAAGGGGAGACAGGTCATTTGTGGTGCCATCCCACAGTTCATCCTTGGCTGAACGTGCCATGCTTGGATTGCCAGGGAATGTGCCGGGTGGGAAATCCATCCTGGAGATCGGTGGAACATCCCACCCGTCCTGGAGCACTCACGGGCTCACAGAGCAGGGGGGGATGGCCCGAGCCCCCCGGGATGAGCCGGAGCTCCCAGTTCCCTGGGCACAGGATTTAGGGGAGTTCTTCCAAGAATACCAGATGCCAACACTCATCAGGACACCCCAGAGGAGCCAAGGGGACCCACAGGCCTGGCAGCACCAGTGGGATGGCAGGTGGGCAGAGCCCCTCCTCCCTGCCAGCGCAATTAGGGAAGCTCATTATTTGTAAAGCAATTAGCAGAGCTAATCAACTCCCAGCGACACGGCGGAATGAGCAGAGAGGAGAGGGGGAGATGCCAGATGCCACTGCCAGTGCCGGGAGCGGGGCCGGCACTGGGGACAGGGACACAGCAGCCCCCAAAGGGTCCCCGGGGGGGGACCTGCCCCAATCAGGGGCTGCACAGCTCATGCTGGGGCAGAGCCAAGCGCTGGGGGAAGGATCCGATCCGGAGCAAGAGGGGCTCCCGGGAATCCTCGGAGTCTCAGGCTCCTGCTCCCAGGAGCGTGAAGCCGAAGGAGGGAGAAAGTGAGACGGTTCATTAGCGGTGTCACCCCACGGTTCATCCTCGGCTGAACCCACCACGCTCGGCTCGCCGGGGAATGCTCCGGGTGGGAAATGCACCCCAGAGATCCATCCCGGAGGCCGGCGAGGCGGTGACAGGGAACAGGCAGCCGGTGGAACACGCACACCACGAGCAGCAGCAGCAGCAGCG